GAATAGTGGGCAGGTACAACAATAAGTCAGGAGGAGCCCTTTGGCCTGTGCACTGAGAGCTTGGATTGGAAGGAGCCATGGTGGGCTTCTAGGTCCAACTAACTTTTCCATCTCTTCTTTATAAGCAATCCATTGGTCAGCTATCATGACCTGATTGTTCAGCTGATCAATCGAAGATCAAGATCCGAAACAAAATGAAGAATCATTGTTGGTGGTATCAGAGACCTTTCTCTCCCCCTTCTTCAACTTTCTTTTTTTCAATCTTCCCCTCCAACTTGAGCACCTAGGTATTTGGATCAGGTTTGGGAAATGGCTCCAGCAAGACAATTGTTTATAGATATTGCAGGTATAGCAGAGAAAAAGATGACAGTGGGGAGATGGATAGCCTTCTAGAGAGAAGCAGATTGGCTCCTGGGTTTCTTGTACTTTGAAGAAAGAACTCCAGCACCAAGGCTTAGGCATACAGTAGTTAATTATGGATTCTCCATTTCTGATTTTGATTCTACCCCATAGTCTCATCAGAAACTGTTTTGAAATTCTCTTAAAGCAGTTTATCCATATTTTGTATGGTAGATCCAGTACAGAGGCCTTATAGAACAATTACAATTGATGTTACTTTAGGAAAATGAACTTTTGATTTTTAATAAAACATCTCATCCATTTCTGCATCTTTTATTCTGTTTTCTGCTAAACTGGAAGGCATTCACAAGGAAGAGCAAGACATTTGCAAGGAAGAGCAAAAGAATTAGTGGCTTTAGTATTACACAGCACACCTGACCTAACCAAATACACTGAAATACCCAGAATCATGGACCTCCTCAACCTCTGCCTCACCACCTACTTTCAGTTTGATGGACAAATATATCAACAAATCAGAGGAACACCCATGGGATCATCACTCTCAGAACTCATAGCAGAGACTGTAATGCAGCGCCTGGAAACTATAACACTCCCACACATACAACAAAAGGTATGGATCTGGATGTAGATGACACCTTCATCATAATAAAAAAGAAACAATTAGAGAAGTCATATGAAACAATCAACATCTTCAATGGAATAAAATTCACAAGGGAAGAAGAAAACAAGAACACAGCACCCTTCCTGGATATCCTCATCAGCAAAGGAAATGACAGCAAATTAGAAACAGAAGTCTATCGAAAAAT